AAGCTCCTCCGGTACCGTCGACTTTATTCGATTCGATTGAATATGTATTACCTATTCGCTGTTTGAGGATAATGGATTCTGTATTGATGTAAATGGGTCTGATAACTTTTTCAAGTACGACTACATTTGTTTAGAAATCATTATGGGAGTCATGTTTTACAACTTGCGTTACTATATTTGACCTGGTTCCGCTATGGGAACTAGATACATAACAATGCATCACCACGCATGTCCCCTGCTGAACAATTTTAAATCGATTGTTTCATCAGTATATCTCAAACGCGTGTGTTCCTAAAACTGAATCCAATTTTAAGCTTTTTAGTGTGTATGATAGTTTGAAATATCGCATCGTTGAGTATGGCACAAAGTTTACCTAGCTCGGATGATCCAGTTATGCCGTCCAATTATTTTAAAATCGGCCCAAAAGCGATGCGCGCGCGGCCCGCGCTGGCCACCACTAATGGAATAACCTGAACGGCCCGAGGCCACTTTAGTGCTTACGATGTGCTTAGCCCGTCAGGACCGAAGTAAGGTCGGAAGATGCTATTTAATATTTCATAGGGAGCTGAGGGTTTCTGAGAAATACCTTTATGAAGAAACACAGATGTTCAGAAAATTGATCTCAGTGTTTTAGTTTACGTTTTGGGTTTTTGCTATTTATAGAAAGGTATATTAGTTCTATAGAAATATATGATTCGAACCCACCGACGTGCTTTTTAAGTTTAGGTACTAATAAAAGTTAATGCAATAAAAACACTTTGAAATGATTTTTGGGCAGTAGTATTTCTGAACCAATACGACCTTCAAACTTTCAAGAAACGTACTTGGTCTTAAAAGTCTAAAAAATCACAATCAACTTAAGCTGATCATAAACTATAAAAGTCTTGTAGTGTAAACGCATGTTTCATAATGGCGGCCTCGAAATGGCACCATTTTCATGACGCGAAATTGATATCGTGAGTAGATGCAGCATCCACAATTTTTAGAACATTGAAACATTGAATTTACCTATACATTTTGTACTAAGTATTTTCTATATACGAGGGTGCGGGTCAGGCACTATATTTATAAAATTTTCGTCTGTGTATAAAAATAGGCTACGGTTCAGTATACTTAGAAATAAATTTTCCGCTACCAATCTCTTCTGAGAGTGAAAATCGTAATAAAATATCGTCGATTTTATTTTCACGATATCTAGAAAGTGTAGTACTCAAAATAACTTTCTGATTCAGTGTAAATAAACCTGAAAGGAATAAAAGCAAGGCGTTTACGTAGAACTACAAATCTAAATTATCCGCAAGTGGAATCTTTTATCCTTTATCTTTTACGAAAGCTGCTCTAAATGTATTGTCTTGTGGTGCCAACAACGTGTGCACTTACCGTACATAAATACATACGTACCTATAGATATAACGACATTATAAACTATGCGTGGTTACTGAGGAATTTAAAAATTACCTATAAATCATAAGAGATATGAAATTCAAAGACAAAATCATTTATTTCAATTAGACCCTTACAGGCACTTTTGTACGTCAAACAAAGCTTAAAGATAAAAAGTGTCAGTCTGTCGGTTAGTCGTCTTCTATTTGGTTTGTCATGCTGACCATCCCCCCTTTCGCGACCGTGAAAGTCAATTAAACGTTATATCACCAGAAGAACGAAAATGTAAAAAGAAATTTGCGCACATAATATTATTGGCAGCGCTAAGTAAGTATATACCTAATAGTTATTTGATATCAATAAAACAGTCTCCTAAACTAGCTATTTTGATAATAAAATGTTTTGCTTTGATCTATAAACCAACTTGAAGTATCTACTTACTCACATAATCTAACTTAAACGAACTTAAACTAGTAAGTGTTAAGTATTTAGCTACTGCTGAGAAAATGAGAACAAATGAAAATTAATAGCGTTACAATTAAACGAAATTAATTAATATAAACCACTCATTTTGTAAAGTTTGAATGTTTTTTAAGATAAAAATACTACTTCTTATTTTACTTTGTCATTAATAAATACCACACAATAAGCAACTTTTAGAGAGCACTATAATGTTCATTTTTACAAATAAAAAATGACAGACAGAATGAAATATGTATATATAAATGGTCAAGCTTGAAACATTTTTAGTTTAAATCGTATTTAACAGATGGCGCTGGATATTGTTGCAATTAATACTCCATCACGTACCTACATATTATAGATAAGTATAAAATTCTGAAACTAAAACACAAATTGTAAATTATTTGTTTGTATACTTACATAAAATTTTTCATAATCTTCAAATTACTTCTCTTCCACAATATTAGACTCTTACTGACTAAAAACCACCGGATTCTTTCTCCTGCGAGGCCGGGCCGCGATATATTATTAAGCTTGACCCGTGCCCCGGAAACATACCTATTTGATTTTTTATTTTCTATGACAGTAACATGAGTTCCGAAGTAGCTAACCTACTGTTCTCATGTTCTATCAGTATAATAATTAAGCTGCTATTTTTCTCTTGCACATTCGATTAGGTATCACACAATTTAGTATGAATTTATATTTTTACTACGTAAAATGATAAAATAAATTAATAATACCTAATTCTACACAACTTTTTAACCAAAAAACCTTAACTAAGAACCTTAATGAAAAGTTTATACAAAAAATTAATTAATGTTGGGTCCGTTGGTACCTCAGTACCTACCTAAACCTTTTTAAAATAAGAACCAAAAGCCATCAAAGTGTTTTTCATATTCAAAGTTCGTTTTATAGGAGCCATCTTGAATTATTTTATTAAAATTTGGCTTTAGACGTGGTTCATAAAAGTGCCACTTCTTAGGCCTCTCGCTCGGACCGGGATACTTTGGGAAATTTACATTTATATTGCAAAGGTATCTAATGTTTAAGCTTGTTAAAACTTAAGGGTGCGTCCGAAGTTTTGCTTGAAGAGATTGCTGATTCATTGTGTAGTTAGCCTAATTTGGAAACTAAAGACTAAATCGCTTTAGATTTTCGTTCATGACTTGAGACGAACCTTATTGTACGATTATCATCATTAGTTTAACGCATAAGCTTAAAACGTAGACGTAAAACCACGAAGTAGAAATAAAAACTGACAAAATTGTTGTTTCACTTCAGCTACATCTTACCACTGCAAGTGCCCACTTCCTACTGAATGCTGAGCAAAGGCCTTCGCTTCATGGAGATGGTATGAGTATTAGTCACCAATCTTGTTTCAGAGTTGGCTATTTCAGGGTTTCTTCACAATGCTTTCCATCACCGTATATGTGGTCTATAGTTTAGGAATAATATCTTAAAAACTAGATATCTACATAAAATAGCACGGATAAAGTCACATCAAAAGCTATTTGTCAGTGTTCAAACCCGCTCCCATATGCATGAGAAACCTTAACTTCCTAGTAGTCTTGACTCCACTTCAGCATTTCAGCAATATGTCAAACAAACTGATAATTAACTTAATAGGAAAGTAAGTACAATCACAAAACTAGACTAAAATGTAAGAGAGAGAGAGAGAGAGAGAGAGAGAGAGAGAGAGAGAGAGAGAGAGAGAGAGAGAGAGAGACTTATTCTGTATTATGGTATGGTGGCTCTCTCTATAATATGGTAGGTAACTAGATACGTATAGTCTTCAAAATCAGGAAGAAAAGACATCAAATTTAAATATTCTATGAATAAAATTGTAGAATGCAATTATCGCTTCACGAAAAAAACTGAATTTACGGCGTGCGTGAAAGAATTAGATTTAGCATATCAATAGATACTTACTTAATATTCACCAATCATTATTCTGTGCACGATCAGCCCTTAACTGGGTAGGCTGGTTTGAGAATAGAAGAACGTGGGACAAAACTACACATTACACAAGTTCTAAGTGGGTCCTTAGTAAGGTAGGTAACTAGGTGAGTAGGTACTTAAGTACGGCCTAAGGATAGCTTTCAAAAAAATCCTTGACAAATATAAAATACAAGTTCACTTACGTACATGGGTCTATAGACGGGGCGATCAAAAAATCTCGCCGCCCGACCAGAACCAGACCAACTTGCACTGATGTCCAGCAGGGTTAAAAATTACGGATGTAAGTTTGCGCAATGGTGTACCGTGACCTGTAGAGTAAAGGAGTGCTTTTTAGTCAGTAAAAGTCTGATAGGTAGGATCCATATCGCCCTAGGGCGTTCACTCAAAAAAACTTATGTAGGTATTTTAAATAAATATATTACTATTTATACAAATGTTTCCTAGCCTAAATACTTCAAGCCTAATTATTTTAATGAGAGTATCTGTGTCTAGGTTTTCGTTTCGTTCTAATAATATTGATAGGTACGTAGCTGTACCTTTCCCTGGTTAAAACTTAAAACCGACATTCAAATAGCTGTTAAGTTACTTATCAGTATAAGTAACTACCTACCTTTAAGAGTTGACTAAATGAGAAAACGATAGTTAACAACTAGGTCAAAGGTCACAGTCTAATTTTAGCGTTAGGTACGCTTAGAACGAAATTATGATCTAGATACTTACGGCAACAAGTGAGTAGGTTACCTATTCTGAGCTGAATAAAAAGGTGTTTGTCATTTCCATTTCTTCGACGCAGATGATACAAGGTAGGTACACTCCTTACCTGTAGGTTATGACAAATTAAGTTACTATGATTTTGTAAGACTTAACTATTTAATTTTTTAGTTAGTTTTTTTTTGTCGGTTGATAAGCATATCACTACTAGCGCCCTCTATACAAAAAATGGTGAATTATCAGTAGGCTTCAACTAGTAAAAATCAAAAGCTACAAAACTAGATACGTAGGTACCTACACCATAATATCAGTCAAAAACTTTAGAGAAACTAAAACCAAATGTGTGCACAAATCATATTTCATTTTGCAGTGAGTATCATTTCTGTGAAAATACGTTTCTGAACAAACTCACAGTTTTCAAAGTGACATTTCTTTCAATTTTTGATATCATCTTTCTGTCATTGTTGTCAAAGGTGATAAAGAAAGAAGTTTTCAATGTTTTTGTATTATTTATAATTATTTTCACACTAAAAATGACTGAACCAGAAGAATATAAATGTGTGAACTGTGGCGAAGCAGCGGCGGCATTGTACAGGACGTACGGCCCGTCAGTTTTGAAGCTCACGAAATGTGTATGTGGTTTATTATTATCACAAGTGTGGAAGTTACTCGTATTTATCTTTTATCTACAAATAAACCAAACTGTGCTACTACAGCTGTGAATGTATCATTTTTCTCTTTCTCACTGTTGAATTGTGAATTTTTAATTACCTTACCTGATTTAAAAAGTGTGAAGGCAACCACATTTGGCCACAAACTATTCCATATATTTAATTTGTATATTTATCTAATTGTTAATCATTAATATTTTATGATTCCAGGAGAAATGTAAAGGTATTGTTGACAAATATATAGAATATGATCCAGTTATAGTGATGATTGATTTAGTACTGATGTCCAAAGAAGCACAGAGACATACACTGTACAATACAGAATTTAAGGTAAGAAATTATTAAAACTAGATCAGATTATATAAACTTATTTTTCTTACATGAGTGATTCTCTGAAAAATCTTAACATTTATTTAATAAATCATTGTTTGCCTGCTTTTATGTAATTTAAATATATTTAATTTGATCACATGAGAGCAGTAATAAGGTATCATTTTTCAAAATCATTATTTGCCTTTAACTGGAAGAATTGTTTGGGTTGAGGATAATGACATTGTAAATTTCCCACCTTCATATGAATATAATTCTTATTTTTTCCAATTTCAGGCATTCTGGAAGTTAGCTATTGTACTGGTAATGGTGGAAGCATATGGTGTGTGGAGGAGTGACAGTTTATTTAACATCGGAGTTAATTCTATTTGTGGCATTGAAAACAATTCTACTAATTTGTAAGTAGTAGGTAACACTAATTACTTTAGTTTTAAAGCAAAACCAAATTAAATAGACCACTACAGGCACTTATGACAGTCAAAGTACTTTTTATTGGTCTAAAATGTACAAATAAATGCACCAAAAAAATAGTAAAACTTACTTGTAATTGCAGAACAATACCAATCAGTATATCGGAATCAGTCCCAGAGTCTTGGAAAGCAAACTGTTGGGCATGGATCCCAGCAGAGAAGGGTGATGCAGACAATGATCTGTTCATATGGGAGAAAGATTTTTATATGCAGTTCACATCTACACTTTGTGGTTTGTATTGTTATTTTCAATTATTTATGCATTATTATACATGCAGAAACATGAACATGTATTAAAGGTAATATTCTAAAAAAAAATATAATAATAAACCAATTCTTGGTATTTTGCTAGTTTAAGTTAGTTAATACATTTTGTTTGAAGTTTTTAAAAAACCTTTTTTCTTTGCAACTTGGTATGTAGTTTTATAAGTGAGTTTTATGTTCATTAAGTTTGCTCAACCATTTATATTTAGCTGTACCTTTAACTCCAGAAAAATATTTCTAAATTGTTTAGTTCCAAGATTAAGTGACCTGACCAACCTGATAAGTTTCGTTTTTAGTTTCTTAGTTGAAGGTATATTTGCAAGCCTAAAAATTCATTTGATAAATTCTATTTATTAATTAATTCATGTATTGTTTTAGGCATTATCATATTTATAGCATTAGCACACCTTTTGATGACAATGGCAACACCATTTTCAAAACAGAATAAAGGTAAGAATAAAATCTAACTGAACATAATACATACATACTAAAGTTAAAATAATGTCTTACTAACGTGAATAAACTGAGCATAGCTAGACTGAGAGCTTTTTTCTAGTAATTCACATGTGAGTAAGTCGTTACTTTTGATAGATTTAATTATATATTAATTGAAATCACCAATGGGCCTTGAGCAAACCGGTGTCATGCTCAAATTTTCTCCGTGTAAAAAGAGGCCTTGGCTCAGAGCAGGCACTTACAGGTTATATCTACTTACCTATAGTGATGGTGATGGTAATGATGTACAGGATTCGTAAATAAATAATCTAGATCTATATTAATTATCAATATTGGTTATTTTACTCTCTTTTTTCCTTTGTCAATGAGCTAAATTTAATCCTTCATTTATTTTTTCAGTGCCCATATTACGGATTTTGAAAGCCTTCACACTAGCAGACGTAAGCATATTGTTCACCCTGCCAATGCTGGTTTGGGGTTCAGACACTTCCGCTGATACCAGAACATTCCATTTTGTACTAGTCTATGCATATAGTTTTGCAGTTTTTCTAAATGTTTTTAGTGGTGAGTATTTTCATTTTAATGTTAAGTAATTTGTATTAAGTAGGTAGTCTATTACAATGTGTAGTTTTATACGGATTATATGATGGTTAGCAATCGCCGTCGTTGCAATTGAATTTGGTGGTTTGGGCGAAAAACAACACAAATTCAAATTCACTACGGTTTTCTGTGGTTGTGGTAGCAAAACATAATTGGATACTATATTGTACTCAGTAGGTAGTACCTAGTAGTAAACATTTGATTGCCAGAATCACATTTATTTATCTATATAAAGACACCTGATAAGCAAAAGGTAGGTAGGTAGGTATATTATAAGGCGTATTTTGTGTAGATGGTTTTAGAATCATCAAAAAATGTGTTTAAAAATGCGCCAGAATGAACTTCATACCTACTTATCTTCTTAATATTTTTCTGTTCCAGTGATATACAAGTGCCCTGTAGTAATAACGATGCTAATTCTAATATTAAGTAATATCACAAAATGCATCACAAGTTTCCATGCTACGGCCATCTTGAAAAGGTTATTTGGATATTGAGAGAAGAAAAAATAAATCAAATTGGTCATTTGAGTGATTGTGAGTCTTCTCTGAATTCGCTCGTAATAAGGGAGCTACCGTTTTTTGGTGATATAACGATAATTTCTGTTGTCCTGTCGTATCTATCTAATAGATAGAGATATCTAATGTAAAATCAAAAGACATTAAAATTTTGACAGCAACGATAGTTGGTCATACTACATTGTTTATTAGCGTCATCCGGTTTCTAAAGAATAAGTACCCTAAATCCGGGTTACATTGGCCATGCAGGATCACTTCAAATTTCTAAACCAATAACTACTTAGGTACCTACTTAATTAATTTTATAGGTAAGTACCTACGTCTTGTTCTTGATTATAGTCCTGCAGGGTCAAAATACCTACCTACCCGAACTTACCCGGTAGGGAATTATTTGTAGGTATTCTTATACTGAGAAAAAAATTAAGAATAAATAAACAATTTCACAGTATCACAGAGTATTTATTTCAAAAATATAACCTTAATATATTTTGCTATTTATGAGTTTACTTAGCTAAACATATTATGAGATATAGTAATATACATGTAGTTTACATATGTTACATTTATATAGCATACAGCATACACATAAGCACTATATATTGTTGTAGAAGCTATTTTCATAGTCGAGAGTACGGTTAATTGATATCTACATGATAAAGTTCAAAGAAAATCTGTAAATAAATGTATTACGTAGTATACATCGTATTTTGCGACCTGTGTCACATCACAAAATTAATTAATTTAATAATATATTTCAGTTATTTTAAACAATTTAGTAAGTATTTAAACATTTTGTAAAGTAATGACAATATTATTTAGTTTGGATACAATTTCAAAATAGAATGTGATACCATGATTGTCATACTCCGACTGGTAAAAAATATATTGGGAATGTAAAATATATATATACATATACCTATAAAATTTACTGCCATATTTTAGATTATATTTTTATATAAACTACTTATCACTAATCGCAATACTAAATTCATGCTGCTAAACAAAGTGAAGAAGCTGTGGTACTAGCTGCTTCTAACACAATCATACAAAATTATACATGTTTTTAGTACTAATTTATATAGAGAACTAAAAATGAATATGTATCTATTCTGAAGTCGAAATAATTGTATAAAGAGAGAATAATAAATTGGTGAATAAGTATGCAAACTAAAACCTAATAAAAACATTTCAATTGCATATGTATTTGTTTAATAATTATATTGTGCCAAATTATTAAAACTTAATCTAATTATAATTCTGACATCACATCATTAAATAAATAATTAAAATACAATAATTAAACACAATGCCATTTTACATTTTAAAATAATATGGCTTACAAAAAAAAATCTACTTCAATTATAATTTTGTCATAGTAAAATTAGCCTGCATCATTGAAATACCATACATTTTCACATAAAAAAGATAAACTAACTAGATACAGCAAAATATACAAAATAATTGGTGAAAGTATATTTCGTTAACAACTGGCAACACCATTCAGTCTTTGGCTAAATTGAGCAGAAGCGAAATCTAAGATGAACTAAACTAAGTAATATAGAAAACTATGAATGTTGGGACAAACAACATATTATATGCTTAAGCTAACAAGTAAACACATTTTATGAATAAGTTAAATATATTTCTTCTACATAGGATATTTTAGTGAGAGACAACCCCACTTATAATAAACAAAAAAGGAAATTAACTTGTACTGCTATATTTCAATGTTAAATTCCTTTTTTTTTTCAAAAGTTTGGTTCAGATAAAATTACCATAAACCATGTGAATGTTTTTGTTTTGTGGGTACCAAATTGATATTTTAAAGTTCCAAATAATTAATTAACTATGACATAGAAATAAAAGAGGAATAACAAAGTATTAATTATAAAGAACTATCCTTTATTTCATCATACACCATAATAGGCATTTGTTTACCTACATAATACAGGCAAGGTGATTCATTGTACACAGGCAGGCATCACTCACACATACACAGCTGTCCCAAGTAATGACATGCAGGGAAATTATGTTGTCAATGATACTATCAGTTGTTGTTTTTATGTCAATTACAAACAGTGCCTTTGTTTGATGGATCTGAATAAATGCAAGTCTTTATTAGCGGGAGATAGCTGATCCGTTAAAGAGTTATTTGATTCCTTACAGAACGGGACTAAAAACTTTTATTTAACAAATAATGACGACATTGTGTGTTAAATGTGTATGTGTGAGCCAATCACCTCTACGTATATACTTAGCAGAAATGACGACATAGAAAATATTTATTTTTAATACATTTTAACATTGCATTTGGAAGTGTTCTGTTTGACCTTTCTTGTACTCAGATATCTGGTCCAGTGCCAATTTCACTTTACTTGAGGACAAAACAATAATTCCATTGGCTTTTCTTTTATGCTTTTGGTTTTAAAACAGTTTAATGTCCTTAGAAACAAATATAAAGTTAGCTACTTGAAATTTTAATGTTGTGGTTTATTTGGTTAGATAAGAATGATAAAGATTCAGAGTAAATAATTATTTACTCTGAATCTGTCACTTTCTAAAACTTTCTAGAAAGTATTTTTATTTTATAACCAATGGTTTAATAATCACTGTGTCTAGAAATAATAGTGCAGTCTGAATTCATAAATAAATTGCAACAGCCATGAAAATAGAAATTAAGAACATAATTTTTCTTGTTCAATGAGGAAAAAAATGAAACTAAAATGTATGAAGCAACAATAAAATATGCAATAACAGTTATTCATCAAATTGTTCTTATATTTCAAAGTCTGTTTTCATATTAAGAACATACAAACAAAGGGACAAAAAGTTATCATAATCAATAATAGATTATATTTATTTTATCTTAATCCAAATTAGTGTCATCAAAACACTTCCAAATCATACTTTGATTAAATATAACAATTATTACGAGCTATATTATAAATATAAATAAATAACATACAGCAAGGCAACTAGGGGCTGAGAGGAGGATCGTCGTTACCGATCATGACATCTTCATACATGACATCATGTGTCCGTCTCGCCTCAATTTTCTGCCGGACATAATCAACTAAATTGTACTTCCTAACTACCAACACAGCCCCTGTTATGAGGAGAGCAAGCGTGCATATTGTTACTAGAGCTACCGTCACGCCGCTGTGCGACCCTGACGCGTCAGCCGGTGTCTCGCAATCATCCCCGACGCGCACAAACCCCTCCAGACACTCACATTGATTCGTTTTTGCAACACACTTCTGGTTCTGAGGACATGGATACAGAGCCGTTACGTTGCAGGACAGGATGTGCTCTGTTAAAAAGAATAATCTACGTAACACAGAATAAATTGATTCAATTAAATAATCGTTGGCTACTTAAACTTACCAGAGCAACCGTATTGTATTAAATTCAAGAGCAACGTCACCAAGATATCGATTGTTTTTAGACCCATGATGTTGTAACACTTCACTGAGATTTATTCACATTACAATTACTGCAAAATATGCTTAGTTTTCGTCTGTTTGAAAAAGCGAACAATACCTTTCTACCAGAAGCGCAAGCAAAACAAATGTCAAAAATATTGTGCTGTCATACTCCAAAACACGTTTTGTTGTCACATCGTATATAGTTGTAACTACTATAGAAACACCATGATCACTTGAATTTTTACAATGTACTCACTATTAGAATGTATTGTTGTAAATATTATATTTTTACAATAAGTAAAAAAGTGTCTTATTACAGTTTTGTATAAATTCTTTAAACTCTACTTAATATGCTAACTAAACGTGGTAACGTTTCAATGTACGTAAATTATAATTACAACGTGAACGTGTTATTATCGAACATTCAGAAAAAATAAAACATCGGCCCAAGTACACACTTATTATATTTCTTTTGAAAATGCTTACAAAATTAAAATAAATGTAACAACTAAAAACCTAACGCAAATCTGTATGACGAAACGCCTCTAATGTTCTTATACCCGTTAACAGATGGCGTTTTTGCCAGGTTTGAACATTATTAATTTTATCAAGTTCTACAATCTATCAGTCTAGTAAAAATAACTAAAAACTGTAAGTTAATCATTCTGAATCTTCATCACCCCAAGTGTATTTTTCGGGTAGAACGTAGTCTCTGGGATCGTGGCCAAAGGCTTCAATTCCACCGTTACCATCGTCAGCTCCCTCTCTGGAAAAATATAAAATATCGTCATGACTTACGATGCTACCTTAGTCTCTTGTTTTTCTTCATTACCTATTTTAGAACTTACCTTAGTTCAGAATGTGTGATATCTTTGCGCTGTTTCTGCTTCTTCTTTCTTGGTCTCTCTTGCTCTTCTTCTTCGTACTCCGAATGATCAGGCTCTGTTTCAGCTGAAAAACAAATTAACAGAAATAAGACTTTCGATAAAATAGTAAAAATTTTAATCTTCTTTAATTAAAATGTATTTTGGCTATTATTAAAGTTTTATTAACGTTTTTTGGCTGTATAGGTCTACGGAACATTCCGGTGTAGGTACGGAATACAGTTCCTTCGCAATTTCATCATGTTTATTTAAACAGTTCTAGTCCTAAATAATAAAAATCGTCAAATTTTGTTGGATTACAATTTTAATAGTGTTTTATTCCTAGGATTTACTAACTGAAAATCAGCAATTTGAATTAGAAAATATGGACGACCCATGTAATATATTGTTAACTGCGGTAGATTTGTGAGTAGGTAGCAGCGTGAGTGATGTGAACGGGTATGTGTACGTGTGTAAAATATTGCACTTTTCTTAAAAAAATCATAGTAGCCATTTCAAAATCTTTTTGAAAAACTTTCTGGGTCTTCTAATAAGTTTTTCTGATTCACCTAAGGTCTCATAGTTGTTGCTGTAGGCTCCATCTTGCCCTTTCTCGTCCTGGCCATAAGAATCCTGCTTCTCGAATTCATAGTTGTCTCCAGCTTTTTTATGGTAGGAGTCGAAGTGTTGGTAGCCTTTCTTACCACCTCCTGACTTTTTACGGGAATAGCCAATCTCACCATCACCTTCGTTTTGCACTGATTTGTGCCAGTCATCCGGCTGAAGAAAAATAAAGTATTATATTTAGTTTAAAAAACTAATGTTACAATGTAATCTAATGTTACGCAAGATGGCGCTTTACCGTGCACGTGCTCATTGTTTATACGGGTCGTAATTTTTTCTTATTGCATGTCTATATGTATAAAGTTGAGAAAAACTGACAAACTGAAACTTAAACTCAAATAAGACTTAAACGTAACAAATATTTATCCGTCAAATTCTTTTAAGGAACTCTTACGTACAACAATGTTTGCCAACCACACGCGCAAATGTTCCATACGAGAATCGAACACTCATGAAACGCAACCACTCCGTCAACAGATAGGAGGAAAAGGTACTTACTGCAGCAGCTCTGGTTTCTCTCACATATGAGCCAACTGATATGGTGTCGTCAACCATTAGAAGGTCTTCCAAAGTGTTGGCAGAGTCTGTAGGCAGGCCTATAGCCAGCTGGAGGAGGCCCAAGGCAATAGTAGCTAATTTTAACACCATCGTCGTATCTATAAAAAAATTAATGTTTGAAAGAAAAATCATTATTTTTAAGGTGTTGAGTCTAGGTATATTTTTTGCCTGTGACAGGCACGTGATATAAAAAAGTAGGTACTTACAGTTGCTTTGACGCGTTCAGTCCACTAGCAACTCAGCACAATAATTCAAATCTTTGTATTTTATATAACTCGATATTGCAGCTACCTTGGTCTTTCACAACGGCCGGCTGGCCGGCTGACCTATGTTCCGTTCTTCTCGAGTACCTTCGATCAGATTAACAGTTTTTGTGACCATTTCATCAATGATTTGTTTAAAGTTATTTTTGCGGTTAAGCCCGTTGCTTGTGTGGTGACCTGTGACTACAAACAAACTACTGAAGAGTTTGTGTTCTTTTAACTTTTTTTGTGAGAACTTTTGCCTTTATTTTATTTGTGTAGGGGATCCTAGACTTTTCTTACTGTTTAAAATTCAATGCATTTATTAAATAAGGTGTATAAATGTGTATTGTTTAACATTTATTATAGGGTTTTCTCATACACATAATTATGTAGATATTATAATCGTGCCATAATTATTTTAAGCAAATAAACTAGACCAAGTAGCACAGCGCCGTGAACGTCTAGTTCTTCATTGACGACTTTCTACAAATGTCCAAATGCGAAGTAGTCCTTTTATTTATCTTAGCTATATTGCAATGCAATTACATCGACTTTTAATTAATTTCCTTCATCAGGTTTCTATGACCTTCAAAGATTTGGTAATGTTGGCAACTTGGCAGAAAATTAAATGTTTCATTACTTTAAATGCTGTTTTTCAATAGTTCATGAACAACCAACACAGCATGAAATTGAGCAAATAAATACCACAGACGTGAAATAACTTGGGCAACTAATTCCGATATGTCGCCGTTAGACGTTGGTTAGATTATGAAACAACTTGATTGTGTATTTGGTGATATAATAGCAACAACATTCCAGCCGATTGGTAACTCCTGTTTTCTATATTAAATTAGGCAGCAACCTATCAGAGGTGTGCAATTCTCATTAATTCAAGTTTCATCTAAAAGCCTTTGTTTTTTTTTTCAACAGAAATATCATAAAACTACTTTCAAAATATTTTGTCACTCGATGCAATTGTATTTCAATAAGGGCTATTCCTCAGACTTATCAAGACATGGAATTTGGTAGTGTACTAATTCTATCATAAGGGAGCCCATGAAGGGATTTCGGAAATAACACTATACAGTTGTTTTCGTCAAGATTAAAAAATCGGCCTACTTGGTTTACAACACTAGTAGAGTTTTAAACGGGTCCCTTTTCTATCCTCTCAATCTGTCAAACCCACCGTGCAATTCGGTAGATGAAAATATTTTCATAGTCAGGGGTGCATGGAGAATACACATTATTAACATCTGACACGCTCGTGCCTCAAAACAAAAGTTACACTTAATAATTTTCGGGCACGCTACTATAGCAGCGGTAAGACCCCTCTTTGAGGAGTGGCTTGAGAGACGCCACGGCGTCCTCACCTTCCGCCTGACGCAGGTGCTTACCGGGCACGGCAGCTTCGGTAGGTTCCTGTTTCGGATCCAGCGGGAGGAAACGCCCGAGTGTCGTCATTGTGAGGACCACCTAGAGGATACGGTGGAGCATACGGTAGCGGTATGCCCTGCCTGGGCTGAGCACCGCGCTATCCTCAGGGAAGTGATCGGCGGCGGCGACCTCTCGCGCCCGGCCTTAGTCGAGGCCATTGTGCGGAGTGAAAGGAAATGGGACGCCGTCTCCTCCTTTTGTGAAGCAGTCATGCTCGCAAAGAGAGAGGCGGCCCGCGTGAGGGAGCAATCCTCCTCCTCACGCCCCAGCAGCCACAACTGGCGACACTACGGGCGTCGGGGATCAAGGGACGATCTCCGGCCACCGTAAGCACGGGCCTGCGGTCGGCGAGTAAGGGCAGCTCGCCGCCCGACCAGAACCAGGCCCGAGCGTACGGCGCGTAGCGTTCCGCGCGCGCCTCAAAGAGCCATTAGACCACCACAGATGGGGCCCTAAAGGGCTGATGTTCAGCCGGGGTTGCGGGATAAGCGCAATGAGGCACCGCGACCTCGGCACAGAGCAAGAAAAGGAACAGGGGGGTTTTTAGTCAGTAAGAGTCTGACACTCCTTCCTGCCCGGCCCTGGGCGGGAGAAGTCATTTGATGATTTACCCCTCACAAAAAAAAAACACTTAATAATTTTAACTAACTATCGATCCACTCTTCGCCCACCGGAGGAATGAAATGTTAAGCCATTTTTTTTTCTTTCTATCACCTAATCTTCAGAATCCAGTTGCTCCGTACGACGCTTGAGTAACTACAAATTTAGCATCCTAGGCTCCCCTTCTACTAGCAACATCACACTTTCCCTTAAAGACTTGACAGAGATAAAAGTAATTATCAAACCTAATAAACACCTGCTATTCACCACTCGTTATTTGTTCTTACACTCGCAGCTTATCGTGTAACAGGCTGGGCTATTACTATCAGCCTCGGCAATTAAGCAGTTAATCTGCTAATGCGGATGCATTGATTTTTTGGAATACAGTCAGTAATATACCTATTAGTATTGACGCGTGTTTGTTTTTGTCATAAGTCTCAAGCACAAGCTTCGTATAGCTACGTAACGACTTTGGATAATATTGGAATTCCTACATAAGAAGCTACTTTTCATGAAAAATCACTGCTAGCAATTATAAGTTATAAAGAAATGTACGATAGCTCCTTAATTTTTTCTGGAAAGTTTAGTCTACAGTAACGGAAAATAATACAGAAATTTATTACAAAATTGTTTATTAAACAGCCGTCATTAAGCCGCCATTACCCAAATTTATTTTAACATTTTGAATTAATTTTCCTTATTTTTATTTTCAGGTGTCTTATATGTGAATGCTGTGTATACTGCAATGAATTTTCCTGGTTCTATATAGGTCCTTTTACTTGTTTCCATTGAGCTTGCTGCAGTTTCCGTGATAGGTTGTTCATTTAGCGCGTTGGGTAAAACATCGTACGTCAGCTGCCATTCCTTTTTCAGTTTCATTTCCTCCAAAGCTGTTGCACTAAAACATAAAACTGTTTATTATATGTATTGCTTGGAAGTGATGAATGCCCAGTCCAACGGCTTCAGATCCAATATTACTGACTTTTTCTGACTGACTGATTTGGTTTACTGTTTCTCAGAATGAGGTCATAAATCTTCGTTTATGTTGTGTAGGTTTTATTTACGTGTCATTTTTTTTCTTTTATTCATAAAGTAATCTTATTATTGTTTATACTACTTGATACTTACATGTTGTCGTCAGCAACATCGAACCGCAACACTGGAAAGCCGACATCGTGCCCTCTTTGTATTGCATTTTTGACCAGCAGGTGAACAATTTCTGTGTTTTTCGGACTATCATGGGGCACTATCAGGATTATCTGCGCATCAAAATATACATGCAACCTTACAGGTTTGGTGGGCAAGTTAATTATTAAGTACATGTATGCATGTAAGATGTTAGTGAAACAGAAATTTGCTTAACACATGTAATTAAATCACCTGCAGAATATTATGCACTCTATACTTGTCGTGTAGGGCTGGTGCACGTAAACAATGAGCGGTGAATTGCATTAGCCTCCGCGAACGCGTGCACCTAACGCAACGAGACCACCGGTCCAGCAGCATGGCGTCCCAAGGACACACCGACATACCGAGAGCCAGCCCTCGGATTTGAGACCATCCTCGTCTCGATTCTTGCTGTTCAGCCAACATTGAGTGACCTGGAATACATGAAATTTGTTTACTAGACCTCAAGGCCTCAAAATAAAGATTTACACCTACCTACTTTAAAACAGTACAGTGAGAAAGCCGTGTTTTTAAGCACGACTTGGGTAATTCAACCAGAGTGATACCATGAACTAAGAGAAGACCGGCGTGAAACACAGAACAGCAACAGGTTACAGAAGACCAAATGCCGTTTGCACTTAATAAATAATGTAAAGATACCTTGTGCCAGTGCCCGTGCTACATAGTCGTGTAGCACAAGCTGTGAGGCTGATGGTGGTGAGGAGATGAGGCCTGGCCAGGCGGTCTTAGCGTGCTCGCGCACGAACCGTAGCACGCGCGGCACGTCAGCGACGCGCGCGCGTCTTACACGCATGCGATCATCATTCTCGCTCCCCTGCACCTGCAAACAGAATAGCTTCACAACTATAATAATTATATTAAATACTTAATATTGAATTTCTTTCGGAATAATAATCATAAAAAGGTCATGAGCTGGCTTTGTTCGAGGAAGAGACTTGTGCTTAAGTCACGCTAATTAAATAGTATGACAGAATTGTAGACACACTTCATATTAATAGCTAGGTAATGGTCAATAGCCGCTTTAGAGTCAGCCAAGGATGGGCCAAGTATGAACTAAGTTAGAATACACTATTAGATACATGCTTCACAATATCAAGTTGGGCAATCACCTGGGATCGCACCACTACGTGCTTGGAGGTAACATCTTGCTTGTCGGAGTAACTCCTCGTGAGGTTCCCGCTAATGTAGCTCAGTGCAGCTCGTGGAGTCTTGACAGTCTGTCTCGTAAAGAATTTCAAAAAACTTGTCAATGCGGACATAGTGGGGCAGCCGAGATTTGATGATTACATATGTTCCATGTAACTTCTTATATATATTTATGTATGTTTTTCATGTTGAGGTCTTTCACTTTAACTTTGAATTTAATTATTATAAAATATTCAAAAACATAACAATGGTGGCATAATGACGGCTGTTGTGTCAGATTGTTGGTTTGAACATTAGGTTTTCTGAATTTAAAATGCCTTTTCAGTGGCCAGGTAAAATAGAAAAGTTTTTATATGGTTTATCCCAACTTTGTATCATGTTATTTAATTTCAACATCGTTTGAAACACCAATATTACCTAATAAATATTTGTTATGTAAATTATTGTAAATACTTGTTTTACAATAGGGATGAAACGAAATTAAAATTTTCTTTATCCTTTTACAGGTTAATAACTATAAGTTTATTCTGTCATCTGTCACGGTCCTCAAATTAATTTCTTTCAATCACTTGAATTAAAACCATGTCTTGATTATTTTCAAAAAAAAATATAAAATAAGGATTAGCGAAACAAAATTGTTAAAAAAACATGAAGTAAATAAAATAAAAATAGAAGTAATTCATAATGCAGTGTTTAAACACTTTGCGGGCAAGTGCCTTCAGGTTATCCACACCGCGTGTGGGAACTGCCCTGCCTCAGATTAACGCCATCACTAAGAGATTGAAGAGGAGATCTCCTTGTGATCGTTGTTATATTATAAAGGACCGCAAACCGGTTGGTGGCTTCATGCTTCTTCATTGATTACTAGCCAAGAATCTGTAAACGAAAGTGTGTTTGTGATGATCTTATATGACATAGTATTGATAGAAACAAGACGAGTAACAAGTCGTTCTAATTAGTACCTATCTAATCGTCAAGGATTCAGCAAAACCGTCTAGCTACGTTCCGTGTCTATCGTATTCCGTTTTGCCGTGTCAGTGAGTGTGTCTACCGGTCCCTTGGACCAAAAATAACCTTTCTTTCATTCTTTAAAAAAAATGAATTTAAATCGTCAACTGTATCAGATTCTAATCCATACTTACTTAATCAGAATGAAAATAGGAGATGGATGTATCCGATGTATTCGACATTAGAACTGCTTATTTTTGCTCTCATATCTTTTATACATTCACAGTGTTTCGATATTCGCAATTTAACTTTAGAGCGTGCAAGGGACTGCAATGCCAAGTTGATCCGTTCGTTCCTTTACACGCACTACTGGCCTCGCGAGCCAACCGTCACTAGCCTGTGGATGTCCCTCGACAGTCCCCTCCTGGATGTACAGACGGATCAATATTCGAGTTCTGGTAAGGAAAACGTTTTGGGCTATTCAGTTTTTGCTTTTAATTTAGGAAAATAGTATCTAGGTAGATACCTACTGAAATTAAATATTAACATTGATGTGAACGCTTCACAAGTTTATTTTAACCGTTTGTAGCATAATAATTTCAAATATTATTAATTTTTTTTCGCCAGGTGATCGTATTTTGGCATATGAGCGCTTAGAGAGAACAGGGGAACGCAAATTGGTTGGTCTGGCAGTGGCCAATAAAATCTACCCGTGGATGATAGGAGAGCTGGACGAGTGGGCGCACTGCACCACCTCCCTACCTGACAAGTACAAAATATACTTCACAGCACATTGCCTCAAAGGCCCCAATCTGTTTAAGAAGTACAACGTTGACTATATCTATGAGGTAAGAATTTTAATTGAGATCAAAAGTTTAAGTGTGGGAGAGTCATGCTTGCGGCACGTATGGGTCGTCTTGACCGAAGTGATACCACGGCCTCACAGAAACTGGCGTGATTCGAAAATAGCGTTGTGTTTCGCCGTGTAAGTTACCGGAAACCCTAATCTCCAAAAGGTTGGCAACGGACTCGTAATTACACCTTTGTTGCGGGTCTCCATGGGCGGCACTGATTGCTTATCATCAGGTTAGAGTTATTTTCGTTTGTCGTCCTATCACATAAAAAAACATACACCGCCACATGGCTAACCAAGTGGTAACGGCGAGGTAAGTTTAATTTTACCACCGTACCGGTGTACACATCTTCCATATGGGAGTCGTAAAAGTCCTCTAAGCGACTACCTACATATTTAAAAGAGACCCAGTAGCAGCTCTAGCAGATAGATGTCCAGAAGCTAAAGTAGAAGCAAGACCATAAATTTCTTTTCAAATGAAGTGTCTTCAAGGCCCAAAACGCCATTTTTTTTTTAATTCGTATGGGCAGAAACGAATTAAAAAAAATCATAAGAATATGTCCTGCAAAATCAGAAATGACTAAGGCCTGATTTTTCAGTGGTTAGATAAAAGTTATCTGCAGAGTAATTATGATGCTGTCGCGTTAGAATGTTTATATAAGACAGTGACAGCAACGATTTTGTACCTCTGATAACATTTATCTGAATATTGAAAAATCGGCCCCAAGCCTATTTTGACGTGAGAACACAGGTTAACAAAATACTGAAGAAAATTTTATACAGAGGTGTAAGTGGGACATTACCTAAGTAGCCGCAATTAACAACCTATAAATTTGCTTTGTATACACATTAGGTTGAAGTACTGTGCACAGCAGCGGAAGTAACGGGTCAGGGTGTTGGTAAACTTCTTCTAAATAGTATGTTGGACTATGCGAAGGAAATGCGACATCCACTCGTACAAGTTGTGGCAGTTAGCCATTACACGTAAGTTATCTGTATCGATATTGCAATTCTTAATGTAGCAAGTTCCACGTATACCTATTTTCCATTATGTTTTTTAATTTTTTTGGTGCCGACTAAAAAACTTCGTTCAAACAAAACCGGACAGTGGCACTCTCCGATACTTTAAACTGGATATCCAAACCAAGTGAAGAATGGTGCTTTTAGCAAACCTCTTTTGTATACGAGCCAAGTCCAGGTACGGACGCTGCTACGGAACGTTAACAAAAAAAAACGTGTTATAGAAATTATCATCAGTTACAAGACATTGGGTGGGATTGTGTGGTACCGTCTTCTTAACTTTCAGTAACCCATCTTTGATTTCCAAGTGACTCCCGATCTTAAGGACTACTTACATAAAAACCTTCTTCAGAAGTACTTGTTTTCAGATTATTGATTATCCATTTATTATATTTTCCAGTTCGAAAATTTGTGAAAAATGTGGTATGAAGCCAGAGTGGACCATGAACTACGAAGATTTCACGGATGAATGTGGCCACCGGATTTTCTTCCCCAGAAAACCTCATTATAGTGTCGTGGTTCATGTCAAATATTTTGATCCACGTAAAGGTGGAGTCCTGCCATGTAAACCTCCCTTCTAACTGAATTTGAACTCTGCACACTAGCGCAAAAAGTTCAATTCCTTCTTATGATTTAAAATACATGTTTGAAAGCGTCATTAATCATTTTTGTAAAAACTTTTCGTGTTTTATTTCAGACATTTTATATTATTCATATTAACCTATTTCAATATATTTTATTTTAGTAATTATTTTAGATTGAAACAAAGTACAAAAATATGCGTTTCTTTTAATAAAAACAATACAAAAATAGTAGTAGTTACAGTATCTCTAAAAGTAATAAATATTACGATAACTGAACTTAAGTACCTAATACTAGTATATCTTACTGAAGGCTCTATTTATATTGTGGTTTAATGTATTAATATAGGTACACACGTCTTTTGCTGTGAAAGGTAATAAAAATGAATGCAAGTTTGAAGTCTTGTAAACATTTCACATTTGTAGCGTATCTTCTAAGTTTATCTGAATCGACATCATCTCCTTACCTAGTCATTATCTCAAAATTCATTAGTTTGCTTACAATAAATATTTACCTTTATGTTATTTTTACAAAAACAGTAGATTCTCTTTCAATAAAAACAGACCATGACATTGACGAAACAAAAATAGTTTCACCTACTTGAGTAATATTATTTGATGTTTTAATTAATTTAAATAACACGAATCACGGACCACCAAACAATAACTAATGAGGTCACAAGAAACGAGCACAGACTTACAAAAAGTCTTGTTTGAATACGTGCGATTTGATACGCTTTACGAAAAGCAATGTTTGTGTTGCAGTCAATGCTTTGTAAGAAGTTTATATTCAAATTATAAAGAGTTTAGTTAAAAAATTAAAACGTTTATTTATTAGATAACAATGAAAATAACGTTGTGAGTAGACATTTTCCATAGAAGAAACTAATAATAGTGAAAGAAGAAGAACAAGAAGAAAAAAGAAAAACATTGTTGAAAATCACGTCATATAACATTTTTGGAAATTTGGAGGTACCCAATTGTTTAAAAATCAACAAAAGAAGAAGTTATTGCCGCACGGAAGCTTCTGGAAAAGAACTATAATAATCTTCAACATACAAATATACTTGTAAAGTGTCTAGAGCTCATATTATAGAACTGTTAATCACTATTGACTGCAACTTATGACACGCTTTTCGGGTCAATTCGAATTTCCATTAATGACAATTATTATGAGATTGTTAACGAACCATAAAAGTAATTAACTTTTGAATTACATTATGAAATTAACGAAACAATCAATCAACAAATCAATAATGACCATAGCTTCTTTAAATGCAATGTAATGTAATTGCATGAGTTGGTGTTAGAAAATATTACATTGAGTTTTGCTATTTCGTGTAGAATATCTGTGGACACTTTATATCGTTTCGATATTTTTCATTTGGTAGTGTATTAACGAATCCATCTCAGGAAAACCCCCCAAGTTAATCAGGAACTTTACTAACAAATTTTCGTAGCAACGACGTCGAACCTCTTAAACGTATCACATAAAACATACTAATAACCAAAGTCTCTAAATGGCATATACTGCAACAGAATCCCAGAGGAAGTTGCCTCTTAATACCTAGAATATATGATCTAGTTTTTCTTGTAGCTCCATTGGGATCCTCCTTCTTTACCGCCTTTCCTGCCGTGGTCTGCATGTTTCTCGTGATGTTCTTCGTGGCCATGTTTTCCATTATATCCTTTGTGATCAGCATCAACGTGACCTTTGTTGCTGAAATAATATATTTGACTCATTATTATATCACCATTATGTTGAGAAATGTAGGATTTCAGAAAGCTTTAAAATGTATTTTAAGCTTTGCTTAAAAATAGATTCAATTTTCCCATTAACTCGTTGAAGAGCAATTTCAGTTCATTGAATAAATAGGAAACCACCAAGATACCTATACAGACAGACGGATGTGCAGCATCCTCTAGTATGTTCTATAAATATCTTTTATATACTTCCTACAATTCACGTGTCTAGTCTATTAATGCTTTGATGCAAATTCCTTGCCTCCGCATACGTCTACAGACTAGGATCGTTAAAACAGTTTCTAAATTTGTTATTATTTTTTCATCAAAATTTTACCAACCTGTACCCCTTCTTTCCTTTCTCAACGAAGTCATGTCCGGCGTTGACGTGATGAGCCTTCTTCTTGCCGCTCTCGTTGCTTGCGTGTTTAGCATTGAACTTGCCGTATCGGTGGTGCTCACCACTCTTGTGGAAGTCGTCATAGAACTTATGTTCCTTGTGGAATTCATCCTTGTGGTACTTGTTGTGGTAGCCTGGAAATTAGGAACATCACTTAAGAGACAACTATCTTAGTTTATCTTGTTACAAAAAATCAGGCATATGGTAGCAAATATTTCAAGTACATAAATCTGAAGGCTACGTAATAAGGCACCAAATACTGTAATATTTCCTTATGAACAACGTTAAAGTTACGACAACCTGTAACAAGTAATGTTACAACAATAAACAGCTTTTATAAAGGATTACATTCAAAGTCGTGACGCTCCAAATTTTGGGCATTTTTTGTCATACGATATTTCTGAAATGAGCGTGAAGTCAAATTAAATAGAACTTTAGTCACGTATACTTGCAACGAATGTTCTCAATCTTGATTATGACAGTGAAAAGGATTTTGAAGTGCAAACTCGCGAGTAATTCTTTGTGAACGAATCAATGGAAAACCGTAGTATTGCGGTTGAGGTCAAATCAAATTGAATTCGAATAACAAATAACTTTACGTAACTTGGCTTTCACTTGCCACAAATTGTTACATTTTCTATTATAATAGATAGCGCTACTTTGCTTATGTTCGAGATATTGTCTTGTTCTGAATACACTCAAGTGCCGAAGTTGGTAACGTTACCTAATTATGACATGTTTGTTTTTTATTTGCACTCGTCTTTATTTTTTTTATTGACTACCATACTTGTTTTTATTTCAGAAGTTACATAAATTGGCCGGAATTGTTTCTGTGACTGACAGGCATTTGGAATTGATTATCGGAATGCAATTTAGCTTCATAATAATTTATTCTTATTACATTGAAGTAATACCGTACAACATTATCTCATCATCCATAACAATGACGATGACTTACAAATATGGAATTCAGTTTCTTATTTAAATTTACATAAAATTTATTTTCAAATAAACTTACCCTTAGTCTTATGTCCTTTCTTGTGTCCCTTCTTCTCATCAAACTTGGCTCCTCTGTGGCCAAATGCTTCTTCTTCGTGACTACCTTTATGTCCAGCATGGTCGTGATGCTTTTTCTTTTTACCGGCGGCTTCTTCGTATTGTTTTTTGTGATGTTCATCAGTCTTGAAGCCTTTACCTCCTTTGTCAATATGGTGGTCGTGGTGGTAGCCTTTAGAAGTCTGCAATGGTAACATTAACCAATAAAAAATTAAGACTTAAATTTTCCGAAGACAAATTCAAAAACACTTATTATACAGATTATGAAACGAATTCCATGAAATATGAACAATTTAATGTCTTATACTATATAATAGCCTTGTTTCAAAAAACAAACAAAATATTAAGTAACGTACTTAAACAATAATTTTGAACATAAAATTGTCATGCTTTCTTGTGTTCGATTTATTTTAGTCCATTGAATCAAAACATTTGGCAAAAGAAAACACAAACTTTTTAAATTTAACCCAAAGGTTAAATAACTGTTCTAATTTTACTATGTTTCGAAGGACAAACTGAGATTAGTATTTCAAATATCGGTTACACACAATATCAATATGAATGGTATATTGTTGTGGTTGGGAGTTATCTAGCGTCACATTCTAAGGTCAAAGACCTGTTTTTGTGTGGAAATAGATATTCACGATAGTGCCAAAAAATATTTTATATTTTTATTTTATATTTTAACCAATTTTTAATACATATCTGTTACTATCACGTCTGCTATTCCAATATTGGAGCGAACTTTCTGCTGTACACTAGGTAGAATTCTCATCATCTTCATTTGACATACAAATTATCGACCCGTCCCTGGACTTGTCCGACTCAAATTCAATTATAAATATTTTATTTTAATTATGTGCTAAAGTTTTCAAACGAATGTCTGAGTAGTAATTTTCGTCAATAACCTATATTGCATTGGTTGGTTTATTTAACGTTTCACAATTTTTATGAATTTTTTAAGTCTAATAAACACTGTTGCTTTAATCCTTAATTAAAATTTAATATACTATATGGGACTAAAGAAATTTCCTACCTTTCCTCCATGCTCAGCAAAATGTCCTCCATGTTTGGCATGTCCACCTCCCTGAGAATGTCCTTGAGCGTGTTTTGAATGATGGTGTCCAGTTGATGCACCATACAAGTCTCCTGAAGCCAATTGCTTCGGTGCTTGGATCAAAGGTTCAGAAGACACTGGAATGGGATTGTCAATAGGAATAGGGTTCGAAGCCAAAGGAACAGCTCCCGGTGGACTAGCGATAAACTGAACCGGTTGAGACTGCACTGCTTCCACTGGAGCAACATTTGCTGCTTCAGCAATATTAGCACTGTTCACATCGGGCCTCAAGTAGCGAGGACTCGGGGCATACACTTTATGGTAGTGGTTTGCACTAGCGGCGAGCATCTCTTCATATGGCGGTGATTCCATCTCCCCATCATCTGTAAACTCATGCACCTCATACTGATGGAGTTGACGAGGCACCCTCACGTACTCCGCGGCTCTTCGAGATCTTGGCTCACAGCACCGCTTCACACGAACATGTTCCTCGAAAGGCCCTGCATCATGCACGTCGCGCCTGCTCCTGGACTGCTCGTAGTCATCGTATGAATCGTCTACATCCTCCTCCTCCACCCAGGGCTCCTCCGCTACTTCAGCTGCGGCAATCGCCAACAACACCAGGATGACCACTGGTCGCATCTCGTACTTTAAATGATGTAGAACTGATTAATTTTTTTGTTTTATACTTGTGAACCTTTCACCGTTGACTAATAAAGGATCTTGCTAAATGCAGTTGCGTTGATGTCAGCTTTTTATACAAGACAGTGGGTAAATGTTTGTTGTGTACGGGCGGCCGGGCGCGCGGTACGGTCAGCACTGACGGCAGACGCAGCCACCACCTAGAAAGCGTATAACGACACGGAGTAAATTAGTTTTCCCGGTGCATTATTTTAGCGATTTTTCGACCGCAGTGAAAACAGCGACCGTGAATTGAATTAAACTTTTTCTAACGGTCCGGCCGTGAGATCATGTTGCGTAAGCGATAACAGGAGGAACTAACTGATTTGTATGCGTGAACTTTGACAGACGATATAACGAGCTCGCAGGTAGTATCTATACGATGAACTATTTTCGATGTACCCCATTGAACAGCAAGCAATTTGAGAGACAGGTACTTAGCAAAAAACTGATAGCAATGATTTAGTTATTTTAAGATAACTAGGAAGAAAAGACAGTACTGGATGATTTTTCAATTGAATTTATATTATTAGCGTTAAATACGAAATTAAGTAAATATGCCTTAATAAATACTGTATAAATATTAGGTATGTTTAGTTAACATACAAAAAACTATAGATCATTGTAATCTATCATCTTGCATAAATATCATAATAAACACGGTAGTAAGACACAAATTTATAGACGAACAACTTAATTTGTGTGTACTCAGCGTTCCCTGAGTAAATAAACAAAAGGAATGCGCGGACGCATGTTTGCATGAATCACACAGTTGACAGGACAATAAACAGTTATCTTTTAAATTAAATATTGTCTACTTTTAGACGTCAATGGAGATAAACACGGATTTACTAATCAACAAGCTAAAGAACTTTAATTAAATGCTGTCGCAACGCTAATTAGTGACTAAGGAATGTTTATATTTGCAATGAAATTTACTTTCACTAGCTAGGCGCCTTTAATTTATGGAGTCAAGGCACGCTTTGTTGTTTTATACTCTTTGATTGTTATCCAATATTTATTTTCTGTCTAATTAGTATGACAATTAAATTTTAACGAGTGTATTTTGACAGTTGTGATCAGTGCTCGTTGCCATATTTTCATGTAAAACACTGTTAGAAGTGACCATGATATGGTAAGTGGTTAAAGGAAATATGTAATATGTGCTTCTATCTGAAAATAGCGTTCTTGCTCGTTCTCAATTGTAGATTATGGGGACTATAGAGCAATCTAACAATGATCGTAGAAGAACAAAACAGTAATGTGTAGGTACTTTGTATACCCATTTTTTGCTAGTTATTAAAACCTTAGTCATCAAGAAATATTTTCACAATAACAGCAATATTTAGAAATAAAAACTGTGCACTGAAGTTAACTTCGACCTCAACACACAAAGTTAAGATGCTATCCAGCCAGTGGTTCCGTAATTCAACCTCTCCTTGACCAAAATGGTGGCAGCTGAATGCTGCAACCACTATAGTTTTTATAAACTTTAACTGTTGCCATTATTACTATTGATTGGCATTCATTCTTTTGCATTTACAAATTCTATGCAGATTTTAAAGAACAATACCTATATACATTTTTATTGGCCTTTCATATTATGATATATTTTGAAAAATTTGGTAGCTTCGCCCTTTTTACTATTTTATTCATTTTTATGATTCAGTCACATGCAGTCTAAAATTTGTAGTAGTGTGTGTATCAAATTATTGTATATTTTTTGGTGTTTATCAAGTGTATATATACATTTACAAGAAATAGAAGGCTGCTTTTTGATTTGCATTTATATCTGAGTTTATGGGTAGTTATCCATTACACCTAAACCAAACTCACGTAGGCCGAATCATTGACAATTATGGCTATGCTATGGATTAATGTCCCGCGGTCTGGATCCAGCTTCGACCCAGATCAGGAGAAGGAACAAGGTGGTTTTAGTCAGCATGACTCCTCGATTCCCTCCCAGGGCAAGACAAATCATATGATGATTTTCCCCATTTTCCCAAAAAGAAAAACAGCTTTAGATAAATAATTAAATGACGCACCTACACTGTTACTTTTAAAATTACACGTTAAAAATATTATGCCTTTGTTAATAGAAATAGTTGAATAGTTATTTCATCTAACGTTAATACTTATTGGGGCTACATTGGGTTGGGCAATAACGGAAACGCGAAGCTTTTCCATAAATAGATATCTTCTGGCTCATTTTCAATTTTTCGCTTAAGAAAACATCATAATATATTTTCTGTAGTTAGCTATTAAGGGCTATATGCTCATCGGGGTTTTACACAATTTGAATACCAACATTTAAAACAAGATTATTATCTACATTATTTTTATTTGAAAAACCCAATTGACAAACTACTAGCAGCAAAAGGCGCTGCCCGTGGACGAGGTGGGGTCGTGGTGTCGATCCAGTTTTCCCGACCAATTCGCACCGATTGGTTGACTAAGCCAATGTGCATACCAAATTTAATTAAAATCTTTAATCTGTAAACGCAAAGAAAACTCAAGAAATGAGCACACAGAGAAGAAATCAGATACTTTAGTTTTTACTTTGCTCTTGAAAAAATAAAGCGAAGGTATTCGTTACGTAATCATTCAAATTAAATGCACATTGCGCAAAATAGTCGCGTTTAGAAGACAAAATTAATTTCAAATTTTCTATTCTATTTTTTTCATTGTCAAGTTTGTTAATAATTGTTTTGTTAGCAAATAATAGAAGAAATAATAATTATTGTACTACTAGATGCTAAGATCTTTAGTTTCTTTGCTCGCCTGGTATTTGCTGCGGAAGGAAAAGTCGGTACTTACTTATTTTTATTGTTGACACAATCATTAATTAGTAGGTAGACACTAAAATAAGTTTTGATTAACGGTTTTCAATAATTAAAATCTCTTTTTATTTCTTGAATTGGTTTTTTGTTATTAAGTGTTTGGGATTTAGATGAAAGTGTGATAGTCTCATAAAACCGCTAATTATGATACCTATACAGTCCAGGTAGTACTTTTATTAAATTTTGATAAACTCAAGAGAAACTCAAAAGGTAACTCAAAAGCCAAAACCACAAAATATTTGTCAGTAATTTATTACATCGTGTCAGTAAACAAATTGATACATCTAAAGCAACAGAGTGCGATATTTATGTTATTCGTAATATCGTCCAACTAACTACTGTCTTACTTAATTATTTACAAGTATCATACACTTACACCTAATTTATTATTGACATTCCCAATATATTGAGTAAATTAATACACCTGCTGTGTCAGTAATAGCAATTGAAGCATACCTCGAATACGCAACATTAATAAATGCTTTTTAAATTGATTTATTCAAATTAAACAATAATTGCACAATATTATTTTTGATGATTACGGAAAACTCCAACTATAACAATGATTGTAAGCATTTTTAATCAACGCGACTATAAAAACAGATCTCTGTCTTTGACAGTAAAAAATAATTGCCCATTGTGCAGCAATCTATCGTTGTTGCAAAAAACTTATTGTAAAATAAATAATTATTTAACTGATTTTCATTACAATAATAATTGTATTAACTGAAAATAATTATACTACTTTTTACACATCTTACACTTAGTAAATATGGCACAAATATTATCGAATATCGACTAGTAATAACTTTTCAAAAGTCTTTTATTTTTCGTTAAAAAATACTGTGTGTAGCGTTACAAATTCATTGTGTTACATAAATAATATGTCCATATGGATATATTGAAAAAAAAAAACACATTTAAAAGCAACTTTATTTGAATCGTATTTTAGGATGAAAAGGCGACAATTATTATGTAACACAAAAATATGTTCACTGATCAAATTCTAACTTACAAAACTAATTAATAAGTCTTTATTAAATGGTCTGACACAAATGGTGTGAACTCTGGATCTTTAATTTTCTTTTTCTTGTGTAATGGACAACTTTTCTGCCTTTGTCCTGTTTCCGATTTGTTGTGTGTCAGTTTATAATGACTTGATAACGACACGCTTTTCTTCCTATATTCCGCTTTTTGGCAATTATTTTTAACTAATTTATTTCTAGCGCCGTTTGCACTCGCGCCACTGTGCAGTGTGTTTTCTCCTAATATTCTAGAATCTATTTGGTTTTGTTTTAATTTGTTCGTGTAGTGTGCTGACACTTCTAGCTGGCTGTGATGCAAACACGTTGACGTAATCTGAAATTATACGGACACAATTAGCCTGCAGTATAAAGAAATATGTCGAGTTGCAAATACAAGTCATATAAGAAGTTAATTATTTTATTCGACAGTAATAAAATAAATCTTTTTTTCGTTTTATGTCTTTAAGCAGGTTAAATTTAATTGGAATGAAGTAATACAATAGTATAGGTAGGTAGGTACTCACTGGGGAGGACTGATGTCTTGGCCTCGCATATAATGCAGCTCGCTCAGCTAGCTCGCTGCGCAAGCGCCAAGCACGCGCTGCTAGAAGACGTCGGCTGGCTGGCTGACCATCACCGCGGACACCATGCCATCTGAAACCAAGACACAGGAATAGTTGGACTTTATATGCTTACGTTATTTTATTTTTTATACAAATAGATTTAGGAAATATGAATGTGGATTGACATGTACCTAAATGCCAGATATTGAAGTATTGCCAAATCATAGCCGTTTCCAAAAAAAAAAAAATGTATGTATTGTTAATTCATATTAAAGTTGAAAAAAAAATTACAAACCCTAACATTACCTTTATTACATTAATTGTTTCGGTACCAAGTCAAAGTCAAATCGTTTATTCCAACAAAACTATAAATAGGTAACTTTTGTTCTTGACGATGTTTCATGAAAAATAAATATATTATTCAGTGCAATATATTTGCTCCTTTTGTATTGAAACGATCTTTATTTCATGCCTATTCTAAATAACCGTGCAAACTTTATCATGCGTTTGTAAGTTGAAGATGTCGTTATGTCAAGGTACCGAAGACCAGTCGTCTTCGGTGTGTGCCACCAACCATGCATTGTGACTGCATGGTTGGTGCGGTGGCTGGGCAACTGGCTGCCGTGCACCGTGTCGCGGGTTCGATGCCCGCACGGAACAACTCTTTGTGTGATCCACAAATTGTTGTTCTGGGTATGAGTGTCATGTGTATGTGAAATTGTATGTTTGTAACTGCACCCACGACACAAGAAAAAATCCTAGTTTGGAGCAACGTCACTCAAAAATAAAAAAAGAATCTGCAGCCAGAGAGCAGCGGAAAGTTTTTTGAATTATAAATATGTTATTATAATCCTGATGAAGGTTTTGTCCATTACCTGACGAGGAGCTGTAGTACCCTGCTGTACTGTCCTACTGACCGTAGTGCAAGGCAGGCTGCGCGAAGTGACACCACCTCGCCGCGTGCATTGCCATGCGCTGAGCTGAATGAGAGCCGCATGGCGCGCGAGTAGTATTGCAGGGCTAATGGGAGCAGTCCTGTAATGGAAAATTCAAATATAGGTTAAATAAATATCTTTATTTGGAACAAGAATAGTATTAATTGTGGAAGAGCCATCCTTCGGCACGAATGGGTCGGATCGACCGGATACAACGTAGTATTACGCCGTTTGAGTGAGGTTACCGGAGGCCCAATCCTTCTCCTCCCCCAATCTCTAAATCTCCAAATCCCTAATCCCCAAAAGGTCGGCAACGCACTCGTAACTCCTCTATTGTCCATCGGCGACGTTGATTGCGTACCATCAGGTAATCCGTCTGCTCGTTTGCCGACCTATTACATAAAATAAACAAGTTGAAACGATCATAACGATCGCAATAGTATAAAACTGGAAACTCCAGGTAAGAAAATAAATTGTTCCATTTACTAAAACTGAAGACGAGTTGTAAGATGTAATAGAAGTAGAAGTGGTAATTGGAAGCGCAAAAATGTATCGCGGCCTGGTTCGGAGCAGGAGATGGAACGGGGTGGTTTTCAGTCAGCTACAGTTTGACAATGCTCTCTAGTCCCATCTAGTGGGGAAGAAGTCATTGAATGATTTGACAACCCTTAAAAGATAAGGTCAAATTCAGTCCCATTTTGTACAACTTTTGACATATTCAGAGCAAAACGAAGCAATAATGCATTCTCCACAATTTAGTATTGACTAGGTATGTGTTCAGAAAATTTTTTTTTGGTTTTGACGTAAAGACAAATTGTGAAACGAAAACAGTTTCTTGAGGAACCTAATAGATACTAAATTTTTTTTTAAGTTTACTTCTAGAAACGTCTACTTTTTTAAACGGTTGTGATCTCTTTTACATCTGTTTGGAAACTTTTCATAACAACGTGTTTGTATACGTGTGTCAAACATCAATCCTTTAAGAGACTTAATCTTGTCTTCTTCATTACTTCGCTCCTCCAATCTCTCCCCAGTCCCAAAATCTCCGAAACTTATACCGTAAGACGGCAACGCACTTGTCACTCTTCTGGTGTTACGGGTGTCAATGGGCGGCGCTGATTGCTTATAATCAGGTCATCCGACAGTTCCTTTGCCATCCTATCAAATAAAAAAATCTCTAATACCGGGATCCCTCACCTCTGTCTTTGTACCAGTTTCCATATAGCAGATAGTGCTCCCAATTTCTTGGCTCCAGCTCAAGTAGTTTGTCTAGAACTCCTCTCTTTTCATCTTCTGGTTTGAGCAGTAGGAGTTCAAGGTACGCCTGAACAAACCGTGGTTCTAAAGAAATGCAGCGTTCTAGCATCTTTAATGATTCTGGTATACGATTTTTCTTTCTGAAAAACAGATATTGTAAAAATTTTAATTCATTAAGGTTAAAAGTCTACTTTGTCTTTCGAATTATTGAAGAAAAGTTACGTACCTATACAATTTGGCAAGATTATAATGAGCATTAACGTGATCCCTGTTGTATTTGAGAGCTTGTAGGAAGTGATGTTCAGCTCGACCTGATGCCAGAACCAATGTGCCAAGGTTGTTGTGAGCGCTCGCGTAACTTGGCCAGAGCCTATAATTTTGAAAACAAAGATAATAAGCACGCCAGAAGAGGTGAAAGTACGATATAACAATTCCGTTCAACATTTGTTTCGACGCCAACTATTTAATTCACTGTTTTGTACCAAAGTTTACACTTGACTTTTCTAGGTGGCGTTAGTGTCGAATTACATCGCGATATGGTTTTGTTACCAAATTTGAACTATGTGTATTCAATAGATTTAATGAATTATCTCGCTCTTAAGTATATTGTTTCCTTATACAAATACCACAGGTACTCTGTAGGAAATTAGTACACTTTCTGTCATTTTCAATACGTATACTGACGTCATGGTAGAAGCACTTACATCAGAGGAGGAAAGTAGTGTTGGGCTATTTGAGAAACAAATATATTTAATTAATTTTTTCATTTCCCGTTTGAGTTCAGTTGTCAGAGTGCCTGATTCATACTTACTTTAAAGCTTCTTTGTAGTGTTTGATCGCATTCTCTTGTTGTTCAATGTCCTTCAGGAAGTTTGCAAAGTTGTAATGTAACTTAGCGTTGTGTGGTAATACAGACAAGTCCGCTCTGAAAAATAAATAAACCTTAAGCTCATCAGAATGTTCGTCTCATAGACATTTATTGACCTACGTTTTTTTTATAAAATATTGAAATTCCTATACTTTGCGGTAGATTTGATAGTCTACAAAACATATCGGAGAAAATATAATTAAATATTGAACTATTGAACAATGGTCAACAGATGGCGTCATAAGTCCTAAATCAGTATGAAATTTGCGTGCGAATAAACATGGAGAGAAAAGCCCAACCTACAACCGATGGGCAGTAGCCCACCAGGCTGATCGCCTCGCCTGGTCGGAGAATCCCCCTTTTACAATCTTAGGGAACTTTACTCTCTGTCCCCACAGGAAAACATTAAAGTCAAAGTCAAAGTCAAAAATCATTTATTTCAATTAGGCCCCAGTGGGCACTTATGAACGTAAAGCAAAAAAGAAAAAATATTTCCACAAGTTTAGATTTATGCGTGTCAGTCTGTCCATCTGTCCTCTAGTGAAGCTATTTGCTCGTTCCAAAGTGTACCTAGATTTCGATAGAGAAGAACGAGCAAGAAACTCCATGGTTACTCTTTTTCAATCAGTTTAACAAAAAGTTAACATGAACAACCTAAACCTTTTAATGTCTGCAAGGTCCAAGTGAATAGAGTTCTTATGGGTAGGCATGCGGCCAAACACCATCCCGTTATTTATAACAAAAGCCTATCTTAGTTTAACTAAAGCTGTATCGTCATAGTGACCTTAACAAAGTTTCTCTGGTCCTCCAGTCTCTATTTCTAAGGTGTGTTCTGGCTACTCCGCCAGCTACCAGCACTGCTACTCCAAGGATCAGGAGTCTACTGCCGGAACTTCGTCGCCACATCATCTGGACACCATACACGGTGATAATCACTGAGCCCACACTGAAACGAAATAAAATGGCGAAGGTAACTTAAAATGAAGTTTTCAATCCAAGTTATGATAGCAAACCAGTTCAGGAAGAACTAGGAGAGTGAAAAGAAAGTTTTTTTATGTGATAAGCCAGATTTACCCAGTCACTAATATTATTTTGAGATAACAATGAAAACACTAACACAATGAAGTTCGATGAAGAGTTTACCAATGACAAGTTTGTATCGGACTATGGCAAAGCAAAAAAAAAGGATTATGATTATAATTATTTTAATAATTTGTTGATCAGTATAAAATCAGTCGTATACCTGGGTATATACAGCACTCTTTCGGCCACCACGAACCCAACCGTGACGAGGAGATTGGAGGCAGGTAGATAAGGTATCACCAACATCATTAAGCCTACAACTGCAGGCGCGTGTCGTTGTAACTGAAACATTTGAATACAGAATAAGTTAAATGATCTGATATTTGTGTACTAAATGAAATATTCAGGATGATCTTAGGCTAGTGATATAAGTGATCTGACAAATATCAAATGGTGCCAGTTGATGATGGGTGTCTAAATTAGAATAAAATATCACTCATATGTTATGAAAACCTTACCTCTAAGTCAACTAAACATCTATAGGAGAGTGCCAATAATGCAATGAAAGCCGCGCAGGTGAGCACGTTCCTCGGGTCCCAGCCACTGGTGATAAGAGGCACTGAGCCCATCTGCCAGTCGTGGCTGAGAGTCCAAGGGCAGAGTAAGAGCCACCAGTTGAAGGCTGCCAGGTAACAGAACGTCATCAACCTAGAAACATAGGGCAATTATTTAATCAAAGACACAAAATAACCCTGTATCGGCGATACCCGCTCCTCCGGCACTAGGGTAAATGAGGAACACCGGGTTGGTTTTAACTCAGTAAGAGTCTGAGCATTTTCTAAGCCGATACCAAAAAAAGGACACAAAATAATAGCTTTAATTAATCTATGCAGAAGTCTCCATAACAATTCAAAACTTTCTGCTAGTTGTATTACTACCATTATTATTATAAACAGTGAATGCTAAAACAAACATAATCTTATATGTCTCGATTGCTGTATGCAAGTAGCTGAGTAAGTGACACTTTCAGATGTCAAAGATATACATATAGTATACCCACTCAAGAAACAAATTTAAAACCTTGTGCTGAAACAAGTGCAAGTCTTAGCAATTACATGTTTAAGCAAACACATACTCGTACCTCCAGATATCGAGTTGAGAGAAAAATGACGATTATAGGACGAAAACTTGTCAGCTCACCTGACGCTAAATGATGGATGGAAGGCAGGAGGGTTGTCCTGAGGCGAGAATGCAGGGAGGGATCCTTGTAACAGCGCGAGCCTTACGCCCGCCAGCAGTATTAATGCAGTCAGTGCTCGAACCACTCGTCCATAGAAACTATCTGTACGCCATCGCCATTTTATCGATGGTGAGAATCTGAAATTGACGAAGATGAAGAGAAATTAATAGAAATACAAATTGTAGTGTAATTAATAAAGTTAGAAAAATAAATTGAATATAAAATCAGTGATCCACATTTTTTTAAATCAGAAGTAGGTATCTAAGCTTTTTAACGAAGTAGCTCAATCAGTTTCAAGCCACGCCAGGGGCTCATAATATAAATATATATCATGTGCTTAATCCGACATGGCGAGCGTCGCGTCGGGCAGCGTACTAAATAATATGAGTAAGTAACACAACAGATTACATTTGGGTTATTAACAATGTCCAGATATTATGGTATACTTTATATTTGTAAATATTACCTGTTAGATGTCCAACAGCGGTATAGGTCAAAGGCTACATTGAACAGCAGCGCAGTTAGTCCTGTCTCCTTGGCCAGCATGCTAAGTGCAGCCAGTGCCACGCTCGACCACACTCTGTGACGGCCTGATGATCTGTAATATACGTGAATGTATTTTTAATATTCATTTGATTTTACCAAGCCTTATAATCGTAAACAAAAAGTCATTTTTCTCTCAATTGTATTTGATCTCTTAATTGTATGGAATGGGATTCACGCTCCTCAGGTTTTTTTCTTATTATTGGACAGCAAACGAGCAGACAGATTACCTAATGGTTAGCAATTGGCGCCACCCATAGAGACCCGCAACACCGGAGGAGCTACGAGTGCATGCCGTTACCTACAGATTAGGGTTACGAAGGTTTGGGTAAGGGGAAAAATGATTGGGCCTCCAGTTGCCTTATGTACACAGTTACTTTAGGCACACAACAAAATACAACATTGTGGTTGTTTCACGCCGGTATTCTGTGAGGCCGTGGTATCATTCCGGTCGTGCCAATCCATTCGTACCACAGCGTGACTTTCCCGCACTTGATGCCAGGTACAATATTGGTAATTTAATTCATGCGCAGATCCCTAAATTACTACCATTAATATATTTTATTTGAAACAATAAATTGAATACATAACGAAACTGTATCGACTTTTTAATATAACCTGACCTAATTAAATATTCATTACGCAGGGATTCAATATGGGCGAGTGTTTGCTTTACATTGAGAGCCTTAATATATGGCCAAACCCTGTTATGTACACGTTTTGTAGGTACCGTGTTAATATTAGCTCATCCACACAGGCACGTGTTAGCTCATCTGCATGATTAATCCAGATCAATAAAGTAACCTATGATAAGATTGTAGAAGTGTGAGAGAGCCAGGCTTCTTTCAGGAGTGATACCACGGCCTTAAGAGAAAACCGGCGTAAAAGAACCACAGCGTTGTGGTTTGCAGTGTGAGTGAGGTTACCGGCTCCCCCTCCGAATCCTTAAACATCTGAAACCCTAATCCCTAAAAGGCCGGCAACGTACTCGTAACTCCTTTGGTGTTGCGGGTGCCCATGGGCAGTGCTGATTGCTTACCATTACGTAATCCGTCTGCTCGTTTGCCAACCATAAAAAATATAAGAGTAACCATGGAGGTCCTTCTCTATAAGAATCTAAATTTTGGACCAAACAAAGCTTCACTAGAGGATTTAAGCGACAAACACATCATCAGCATATAAGTGTCCACTGCTAAGCAAAAGTTTCTTCCCACACGGATTAGATATAAGCAATAAAATGTGGAAGAGCCATATTGTGGCACGAATGGGTCGGCTCGACTGGAGTGATGTCACGGCCTCACGGAAAACCGCCAACATAAACCTCACGTGTTTCACCATGTGATTGAGGTTACCGGAGGCCTACTTCATCCTCCCAATCCCTAAAACCCTAATCCCCAAAAACGACTGGCAACGCACTTGTAATTTGACTGGTATGACGGTGTGTCGGGTGTCGATGGGCGACGACTGCTTACCATCAGATTAACGGTATGCTCGTTTAATCATCCTATGACGAAAAATAAAAATAAATTATATTTTAACTTTAAAAGCTAATTCAACTAATTAGTTAGACTTAGACATACTATTTTTTAAATAATACAATCTGTGAAAAGTGTAAAGTAGCATTTTAATTAACTATCACCTTTCATAAGTGAATGTTCTCAAGTTTGTTTGTTCTATATCTATTAAATCAATGGAGCCAGTAGTAGGAGGAGCCTTTCAATAGTAACTACATACTAAGTAATATCACTTGGACAGTCTGACAAGTTTGTTTCTCTTCATTCAATTTGTGCCGTTTGATCAACATTTATTGAGTAGTTTTACAAAAAAACAAAGTCACTTTCCCTGTCCCTTTATCCTTATCTATTCTTTAATAACGAATTTAAATGTGTTTTTTATGTAAGGTGGATGTTAATATGGATAATAACATCCATTAAATAGTTGAGAGATTTAATATATCAGCATTTCAACCGCGCGATGCCGGGGCGGGTCTCCTGTATTAAATTTAACTTTAACGAACTGTTAGATTGAGTTGTTAAAGTGTGCATAAACTCACCCATGATACAATAGAACAGAAGAGAGGAAGAAAAGGCACGCCAGAACATCAGCTCTGCCCACGACTCCTGCGACCTGGAAACAAATGAAAATTTCTTTGATGAAAACAGTCTGTCGTTACATTTTCAAACCTTACACAATGTTATAATTGATAAAAAAATACCATATTAACATTATTTAAGAAAACTTTTAACGCGACTGTCCAAACTGGTGTTTTTCCTATCGCAGCTGTGGACCAGAATAAAAACTCACAGATACTTTCATGTGATTGCATAGATGTTCTCTTTCATCTAATATCCTTATCACTGAATATGTTTAAATCTTTTATCAAATTATTTGGGAACACGGAAAAGAACAGGAAGGAAAGTACACATCGTAACATAATTTAAAATTAAAATATCCGTAATTAATTCTTCCAAACCATTGCGTAAATCACTCACATTGATTGTTAACGGTTCATTAAATTAATCTCAGAAATGAAACTCATTTTAGGAACGGAAAATGATCGTATTTTTCATGAACCACGCAGTTTTCCGCAAACGTAAGTAAATAACGCGGTAGAAAGTCTTTTCCGAAGATGTTATCTCGTCGTCTAAATATCTGGGGGTCTAATCTTTGTCACATTAGGTCTGTATCAAGTAATTAAGGGGCTTCTAACTTCATTAGGTGCCCATTTATTCGTTTTAAACGGGAGTGCTTCCTCTTAAGTGTCCATTACGTGTATAATCGAAATGGTGCACGTCTTAAGTGCGTGGTCCAAGTGATGGGACTGGAGCGAGGGAAGCACTAATGTCGTTTTAGTTAAGAGCTAATGCTCATCAAAGGAATTGCTATCAAGTAAGGAAATAGCTTATTGGCTTGAATATTATACGTTTAGAAAGATATGGAGTGTATTATATGAAGTTGGTATGGGTATTGAATGGAAATTAAAAGGCGGCGTTTGTGTGTTATCGATTTTATTTTTTACAAGAAAGATAAAATCAAGACAATATGATTTTAAGTCTGGAATTTGCAAAGTATAGCAATACTTATATTTTTATCTCTATTGCACCTCCCATCCACTAACAAAAGCTTCTATAAAAATACATAATTGTAACGAGTTACCTGCCCAACTTTCATAACTTACACCACACAAACAAACAATATAAAAGGGCAATTTTTGAAGTAGAAACTGCGCACCAGATTGGTCTTCGTTTTAATATTTAATTAATTGACAATTAGACCCTTATCAATGAGAATTGTTATTGGAAAAGTTACGGACCACGGGTCTACTGTGGTTCAATGATAATGTACCTATTATAAGGCCACTGTCCCGATTTACTGGCCTTCCGAGTTCAATAAAATGTTGGCCTGAAACTTTGCTGGCCTTTGTATTTTATTACATAAGGCAAATGACCATATTGTAATGTGTCTAGTTAATAACACATTGGGTTGTCCCGAAGGGTTGAGCTATTAGTTAGTTGTTATAAACATTTATCATTATATTGTGCGTTTGTGTCTTGTAGATTTGTTCTTAGACCTACTTATGTATGTGTTAGTAATGCATATTAGATTTTGCTTTAAAAACACCAATGAACAGGTTTGATACATTCCAAACACATTATTAAAAGTTTATCTTTTAAAAGAAAAGTCTGGAAGAGCAATTTTGCACGAACGGATCGTCTCGACTAGTGGTAGTTGTGTATAGCCGGCCTTCGTTATCCTCACTCACAGAATAACAAAGGCCCATAATTTCTTCCCTAAAAGACCGACTACGCGCCCGTAATTCCCCTCGTATTGCGGGCAACCATAAGGAGCGCCAACTGCTTACCATCAGGTAATCTGTCTGCGTGTTTGAGTCCTATAATATAAATAAAAGACAAGAAAAAACCATCCTACTGCAGTCGTTTACGCGCACAAATATTTCGTATCAAAACCAATTGTTTTGTATTGGAGTCAATATAATATAATTATCTATTTTCTTTTGTTTTTAATTTTAAAATAGCAATAGAAATAAATCGTCTCTGCTAATTAAATATATTCAGTTATCTCAGTTCTCGAGATTCACAGCCTGGCGACTGACTGACAGACTAACTAAGGGACCGCTAAGTTTGAATAATATTGTTCCGGTATTTATGTGAGAAACATCTTTTATTTGGGTACGACGAAACCAAAAAAATATAAATTTTTTGAACAAAATTTTCTATAGGTACAATGATAATTCTTGAATTTTACCAGATAATATTAATCACGGTTAATAAACCCGGCCACATGGCACATCCTATCGTTTCTACAGTTCATTAACTTTGCTACGTCACAATTAACTGCCAGCCGGACCCTTTATTTAAACGGAAAAAGTAAAAAATCACGATAGCTACACATATAATATACATAGATAGGTATATAAGTATATTTGTATAACATATCAGGCGAGGGCCATGCTCACAATTGGCCCATCTCCGAAGTCATACCGTGACCTCACAGATTACTGACGCGAAATAACGCCAGCGTTATATTTCGCCGTGTCCCATTCTCAATCCTGAAATACGAGTAACACGCGAATTGATACACTTGTAACTCTTTCGGCGTTACGAGACATCAGGTGAGACGATGACATCAAAATCAAATAACAAGAAGAATTGCTTTGACTCGGATAGCAAATTTTTGTACAGTTTTAAGCAGCAGATCTTTATGAATGGAATAAAAAATAAAGGTATTGATGATAAACTTTCACCACCAACCGATTATGCCGAAAAGGCAGTATCAACAACGGATTAATTAATTAATGAAACCGCTTACCTACACGTGAATACATACAAATGCGTATAAATCCCCACACACACACACTTATTTCCATATAATTAGTCACACCAACCCACAACCCATTAGCATTAAAATTGTAAAAAAACACAAACAAACAGAATGCTTGACGCTGAAATTAATTCATTCGGCCGACTGTACTAATTAATTCAGCAGCCAACTGTACCAGAGGCGACACCAATTATTTTCGCACCGACAACTCTCGCAGCAATTTGTACATAATTAATTAATACCCACCCCTTTTGTACTGGCATTCTATCTATATAACTATAATACTACTCAGTATACAGCCTATTGAAAATATTTCGAGGGAAAACGATAATGCGTTCTCCACTATGAATTCACTTCATGTGGGTTTGTGTGACTGAACGCCAGGTGAGTGGGCTTTGTGATAGTTTGAATATTGGTTCGACGTAACGCGTGGTACAACGTCACCTATGTTTATAGTTCAACTAAAAATAGAAGGTAAACATAATATGCACAAACATAGCGCCTGAACATATTAATATAGCAATTACCACTATGAGCAGGAACTCTTGAAAGATACGAAATCCAAAAGTATAATCTGCTAGATTTCATAAACGCCTAGGCGTATTGAAATAGCAATTGTGCTTACGAGAGAAAAATCATGTCAATAGATTATAAAGTAAGGAACAATATTATTTTTGCGTCTAATCAGATGTATCTCCCGATGTAGGAATCATAGAATTAATGAATTAATAAATACATTAGTTGTTAAATTTATCAAGAAATGTATTTTGTGTTTTTTTTAATTTAGTTGTGTTGTTTCACACATATACCTACTACATATAAACACTGATGGAATATTTTATTTTCCAAATAAATTTCATTGAATTTCGCAAAAGGTTACAAAGTCCTGTTGGCGGTGCATTTTATATTTAAGTACTTTATATTACTAGTCAGCTGCAAGTGAGGATAATAAAGTCTGGAACATAATAATTTGCTACCTACTTACTATTTTTTTTTTATAATTTAATAGGTCGGCAAACGAGCAGACGGATTACCTGATGGTAAGCAATCAGCGCCGCCCATGGACACTAACGGAGGAGTTACGAGTGCGTTGCCGACCTTTAAGGGATTAGGGATTTGGTTTGGAGATTTAGGGATTTAGGAGGGATTGGGGGAGGGGAAGGATTGGGCCTCCGGTAACCTCACTCACACGGCGAAACACAACGCTGTGGTTATTTCACGCCGGTTTTCTGTGAGGCCGTGGTATCACTCCGGTCGAGCCGACCCATTCGTGCCGAAGCATGGCTCTCCCACACTTAAACTATTGTTTTACATGTGTTATCAAAAATCTGCTTTCATTGATTAGTAAACAAATTTAAACGATTTTGTATTCTAAAACTACACATAAGTATAGAATTTACAAAAATTGGAATTCCGATCGTTATTTGTCCTGCCTTATAATAAAATTGTCATGCATCGGTAGGTACAACAGAAAACTCCGACATAATATCTCAAAGACACTCCAAGGCCCTCCAATGTAACTCACATTCGTAAAAACGAAATTAGCAACGAAAAGGAAAAGAACTTGAAATAAATTGCATAGGGCAACTTTTCGAATTAAAGGCTTGCTCCTCCGGTGTGCAATCAGAGATGTAATAGGAAAAGTTGCGGAGATTATTGCCTTCCAATATCTTATGTTACGTGGTAACTTTACTGCCTCCGTGGAGATCCACAGGTTATGTGACGTCATAACAACTCGGGGAATCAAGTGGTGTTGTTGTTGTATTGCTGGAATAATAAAAAGTGTTTTCTTAACGTTTTCATTTTTAAAATAAGAATATAGAATTTCGTTTAAAAAGTTTGAGAGGCTGTTCTAGGTAAACATGGCTTAAATAAGAGTATTTAAATAAGGCAAAATCAATACTTAAATCTATATTATATTGTAACGTTTGTGAGTTTCGTCTTATTAGAGATAATCTCTGGATCTCCTGACCTAATTCCAAAATTATAATAAATGCACCTAATAATTTCCAATTTATGGATCTTAATTTAAACATAAAAATATACAACAAAACCATCTCCTTCAATAGTCAAATCAAATCTAAAGAACGTATCAAAATATTATGGAAAGAATCCGCCATAACACATGCCATGTTCCGGGGATTACACGCAATTTTAAATTGTGATATTAACTTTTGTGAATACCATTTATAATAAGCGCTATTAATAAATGTAAAAAGATTAGATTGTAAACAGTTTCAACAAAGATCTTCAAAGATATAGCCTGTTATGCTTCGAAATATAAATACAGCTCAAAAATCTCATGTGAAAGTGTTAGGTATAGTTATGAGGATTGTATAGAAATATTAGTAACATCCATTTCTTTCTTAGATTTTTACATAAACTCCAAGGACAAGAATTTCGGATGTTCGTGAGAATTACCCAATTGCTTGTGCATCCAATTATTTGATTATTGTGTTTTTTGTATAACATTGGGTATTGTTTGGTGTGCTTATTTTTAAATAAATAAATAAATACGTAGCCAGTATTTATCCGATTGCGACGCATTCAGATTGCGATATGGGGGACAGTGCTAGGCCAATGAAAAAACTAGGTAATAAAGAACATCATCATAAGTTTTATGTTTTCCAAACTTAGATTTATATTTCAAACGTGGAACGGAGTCCGCGAGCTCTGCTACTGTAATATAATTTAGTTGCCTCTAGTCGTAGAAAGAAAGGATAAATGGAAACGTATTACGAATTATATACTCTTTTTTTTTCAGGGGAAAATCATCCAATGACTTTTCCCGCCCAGGGTGAGGCGAGAGAGAGTGTCAGACTCTTACTGACTAACCCCCCCCCCCCGTTCGTTCTCCTGCTCTGGGCCGAGGTCGCGGTGCCTCATTGCGCTTACCCCTCAACCCCGGCTAAACATCAGTCCTGTTGGGCCCCGTCTGTGGTGGTCTATTGGATCTTTGAGGCGCGCGCGGAACGCTACGCGCGGTACGGTCGGGTCTGGTTCTAGTCGGGCGGCGAGCTGCCCTTACTCGCCGTCCGCAGACCCGAATTAAATAATCTTGAAATACATGAATTATTTAGTCAACAATATATTTGCGAATAATGACCATTACTCAACAACTAACATGAATTGGAAATTATGTGAAGCACTCTTTGGTCTGTTATAAGATTATATAGCTAACATTGTGTTTCATCTAAATGTTTGAAGTGTGGTTTAACGAACCATGGAAACCCGTGGGTTTATAGCTTTTGTTAACTTCTTATATAAACCAAAACCATTATCATTCGAGTGGAAGTATATTGTATAGGTAGACGAAGGCGGACTGGATAATAATATTTTGCATAAGTAGGTACACTAAGATTTTTACGTACCAAACAACAGCCGAAGTCACTGCGAGTAGCTACACTGAATACAAACATGAGAAGCAGTTAATTAATAAGTACAAGTGACCCTTAACTCAAGCATGGCTCTCAAAAAGAGGAAAGGAAATTCGTTCTATTTTTAAGGTCGACGTTATCCTCGTGTTCCCCTCGTCCGGCTCCTGGCACATTTGGATGAAGCCATCGCTTGTCGTTTTGCCTCGGGGACGGTACACACTGGCCGACAGGCAGTGACGCGTAAATTTATCACTACAAGGGATTGAAACGGATGACGTCAAATGTCCGTACGATATCGCTCGGATGCTCACGGATGTAAGGTAGTTATTTGGGATAGATTTCCGACCTGAGATTATGTACCGACGGATACCCCTTATCCTCTGATGGGTTAAAAGTTAATTAATTTACTAATCCGCTTTCAAGTGAAGGATTTGTAAATAATAAACTCCATTTTAATGATGAATTATTTTAATGTCAATGAGACTTTTAATCTATTTTTAAAAAAGGTATCTCGGACGATACTTCTTGATACATTATTCGTGTGAAATTATTGAACAAAAAGATTCAAATGCAGAAAGAACATCTACAAACGAGCGAATACCTGGTTTCATTTATATTTTAGTTACGTAACACTATTTCGGTAGCACAGCCAATTTAATTGTTAATTATGTCTCAGAGTCTGCAGAGTAAATCTCAAACTTATAGTCTCGGAGGACCAAAAATAAATTGAATATAATTTTCCATCCGATAGCGAGGCACGATTAAGAAATTTTCACACAATATAAATTTTGTGCCGAAAAACACAGCAGTAACTTAAACTTAGCAAACTCTTGTCCAATAAATTGTGTTAATAAATTAATTTATAACCGATCTGAGGGCAGATCGTTAATCAAAGGAGCTGAGTTTATCGAGCCTCCCCCAGTTTTCATCAAGAATTTGACTCACGGAGCGGAAACTGTAAAGGGAGATATTATTTATACGCGCGCGCGTGTGTGTGTTTCACGTAATCCATTGTATCACGGGAAATGTGAAGGGTATATTAAAATAGTTGGGAGTTTATTATAAAGGAGTTCATTTAAATGTAGAGTATTTATTCATGCGTGTGGTTGGGAAAATTCCAAATTATTTCTTCGGGATGTTTCGGCGTTTAAACCGAAAGATTGTTCGAGAAATTGTAAAGTTCATCGATCGTAGGGTAACCGCGTCTCATGTAATGTTACTTTAGGCAGACGTTTGTGGGTACAGCCTTAATAAAATATCAGGCCGCGAAATTAAAAGCCTTACCCCACATATCGCACATAAACTATTTACCTCTGTGCTCGTGTTTTATTGGTTTTTATATGGCCCGGTGCACGGCGTCGTAAAACGTTGATAGCTTCTATCTTCTTACATCGTTCTTATTATATGGAGATGGATCGATACAGGTTTATTGTTGAACGGAAATTTTGGATGTTTATAAGTGTTTTTGCCTGCAAGGAATAAAACTTTTCGTAGGAAATTGGGTTTATTGTCATTGCCGGTGATATTATGTAGTTACGATGCAGACTGTAGGCACGCAACATAAAGTAAGATTTATTGATGTCAAGCGGTAAATCGGTCTGGTTGGCGCAATCTTACACTATTTGATGATGATGATACTATCTTACTGGCTAGTTTCTAAAACAAAAAGTTACAGATCCCAAATTCGATTTCGCTTCACTAGCTCCATATACTTCGACATCGCTTGTAATTACATTTTTCAAGTGAACCCAAATACTTCCTTGAAGCCTCCGAACACATTGAAAACAGCTGAAAACTTGAAGGCAGCTCGTGTCAATCTGGCTGTCACACTTTATATACTTTTGATTAGTTTGACTCCCGGCTCTTCGTTCATGTCTCACGAAGTTTCAACTTTAAAATAGAGTATTCCGTAGTGGTACCGTCTGTAACTGGGTCATCGCAGTTATGTGAGATTGGGTGGAGTCATATTTGTTAGCACTAAGAGGATTTTTAGTTTAAAATCATGAGAACTTATTATGTTTTGCAAAAACTTTAAAAAAAGATTTAACCTCTGCTCTGCTGGCAATATGAGACACAATTAAAAATACATTGTCTCTTACTTGTATCTACGTTTCTGCATACGACAGGTTAACAGAACATTATAAATCGATCTCAAATTCCGTAATAAAACTAAACCGAAATAGGTAAGAAGGTTTAAAAAAAGAAACATGAAGACGCTTCATTTGCCAAATATCAAAGCGTGAAAAACTGTAAACATGACTATCGTTACAGCAAAGCCTCTAAACGAGTCTGTAATACTATTTAACCTGCTATTACACCGATATTGGTTGCAAGCGACGTTTATAGATTCTCTGAGATAGTTACGTATTCATTTACCTGTTTCACAACTCGTAAATATTTAAAGTAGTCGCTGGAAATGCTCGTGTGCACCAGATATTTCCACCATTTCTATTATCTATTTAATTTATATCTATAAGAAATGGTTCTAAATTTTATTTCATTTGTCGCCCACTCAGTATACTATTTTGTCTTCTGATCATCATCCTCATCCTCCGAGCCTTTTTCCCAACTATATTGGGGTCAGCTTAAGTTTTCAGTTTTCTGATATGAGCGTATTATACGTTTACGGAAACTACCTACCTACCACAATCACTGTAAATATACTCACCCAATGCGGACCACTAAAACGGCTGTATCAAAATTGTATTTTACAGGTTTATATGCATGCATAAGTCACAATTTTATATTTTGCCTTTTTGCACTTTTATTGTTTTGTACTACACTTTGTTATAGCACAGATGAATGTGTGCACTGCGTATCGCGATCGTCGATTACGTATGGGTGGGTACTTTAAAGGAAAGAAAAAAAAATTGTCGACGAGCGGTGCCTTT